GAAGAATGCGATACAAGAGTGGGCAATGAAAAACACGAAGCAGAAGCGGTAAGGATGGCAAGGGCGAAGGGAGAGGGAACTTAGCCGTATGGGGGTGCTTGCAGGACGGTGGCGTCAGGCTTCCAGGAGGCTCGCACACCGCTGTGACTGCCTGCCGTGCGTCATCCCACCGCCCTCCCTCCCCGCACCACGCTGCCATAGCACCAGACGAGATGGGTGGAGCAAAGGAGAGCAAGAGAACCGAGCAGGGGAAAGGAACCCAGGTAGTCAGTAGAAGCATGAAAGTAGTAAAACGCATGCAAGGAGGCAGAGATAACAAGAACGAATGAGTAGAGGAAACGAAAGGTGAAGACAGAAAGCACGTGGCACTGTGACGCAGTGAAAGGGGAGGCGATGGTAGCACACTACACTAGGGCGGTGAGCTAGCAGGCAAGGGGGACGAGGTAAGGAAGGGACGCGGGCATGAGTATGAATGCATTCTATTCTACCCTCCTACGACTCTAGTATGAGCTCAAGCCGCCCCAGTGCCATGCGCTACCATCGCCAAACGCCGCTCATCTCTCTCTCTCAACTTTTGATCGCTCCCATTCAAAAATGGGCTCATTTGTTTCGAGCACGCGGTGACGGAAGAATGCGATACAAGAGTGGGCAATGAAAAACACGAAGAAGAAGCGGTAAGGATGGCAAGGGCGAAGGGAGAGGGAACTTAGCCGTATGGGGGTGCTTGCAGGACGGTGGTGTCAGGCTTCCAGGAGGCTCGCACACTGCTGTGACTGCCTGCCGTGCGACATCCCACCGCCCTCCCTCCCCGCACCACGCTGCCATAGCACCAGACGAGAGGGGTGGAGCAAAGTAGAGCAAGAGAACCGAGCAGGGGAAAGGAACCCAGGAAGTCAGTAGAAGCATGAAAGTAGTGAAACGCATGCAAGGAGGCAGAGATAACAAGAACGAATGAGTAGAGGAAACGAAAGGTGAAGACAAAAAGCACGTGGCACTGTGACGCAGTGAAAGGGGAGGCGATGGTAGCACACAGCACTAGAGCGGCGAGCAAGCAGGCAAGGGGGACGAGGTAAGGAAGGGACGCGGGCATGAGTATGAATGCATTCTATTCTACCCTCCTACGACTCTAGTATGAGCTCAAGCCGCCCCAGTGCCATGCGCTACCATCGACAAACGCCGCTCATCTCTCTCTCAACTTTTGGTCGCTCCCATTCGAAAATGGGCTCATTTGTTTTGAGCACGCGGTGACGGAAGAATGCGGTACAAAAGGGGGCAATGATAAACACGAAGCAGAAGCGGTAAGGATGGCAAGGGCGAAGGGAGAGGGAACTTAGCCGTATGGGGGTGCTTGCAGGACGGTGGCGTCAGGCTTCCAGGAGGCTCGCACACCGCTGTGACTGCCTGCCGTGCGTCATCCCACCGCCCTCCCTCCCCGCACCACGCTGCCATAGCACCAGACGAGAGGGGTGGAGCAAAGTAGAGCAAGAGAACCGAGCAGGGGAAAGGAACCCAGGTAGTCAGTAGAAGCATGAAAGTAGTGAAACGCATGCAAGAAGGCTGAGATAACAAGAACGAATGAGTAGAGGAAACGAAAGGTGAAGACAAAAAGCACGTGGCACTGTGATGCAGTGAGAGGGAGGCGATGGTAGCACACAGCACTAGAGCGGCGAGCAAGCAGGCAAGGGGGACGAGGTAAGGAAGGGACGCGGGCATGAGTATGAATGCATTCTATTATACCCTCCTACGACTCTAGCATGAGCTCAAGCCGCCCCAGTGCCATGCGCTACCATCGCCAAACGCCGCTCATCTCTCTCTCTGAACTTTTTATAGCTCCCATTCGAAAATGGGCTCATTTGTTTCGAGCACGCGGTGACGGAAGAATGCGGTACAAAAGTGGGCAATGATAAACACAAAGCAGAAGCGGTAAGGATGGCAAGGGCGAAGGGAGAGGGAACTTAGCCGTATGGGGGTGCTTGCAGGACAGTGGCGTCAGGCTTCCAGGAGGCTCGCACACCGCTGTGACTGCCTGCCGTGCGTCATCCCACCGCCCTCCCTCCCCGCACCACGCTGCCATAGCACCGGACGAGAGGGGTGGAGAAAAGGAGAGCAAGAGAACCGAGCAGGGGAAAGGAACTCGAGTAGTCAGTAGAAGCATGAAAGTAATAAAACGCATGCAAGGAGGCAGAGATAACAAGAACGAATGAGTAGAGGAAACGAAAGGTGAAGACAAAAAGCATGTGGCACTGTGATGCAGTGAAAGGGGAGGCGATGGTAGCACACAGCACTAGAGCGGCGAGCAAGCAGGCAAGGGGGACGAGGTAAGGAAGGGACGCGGGCATGAGTATGAATGCATTCTATTCTACCCTCCTACGACTCTAGTATGAGCTCAAGCCGCCCCAGTGCCATGCGCTAACATCGCCAAACGCCGCTCATCTCTCATTCAACTTTTGTTTTTTCAAACATGCTCTGAGGAATAAGCGCGGTACAAAGTGGACAAGGGCGAAGCGAAGCGGTAATGATGACAAGGGCAAAGTGAGAGGGGACTTAGCCGTATTGGAGAGCTTGAAGCAGCGAGGCAGTCATAGTCCCAGCCAGCAGCAGTATCCATTCTGCTGCTTGTATTGCATCTCTGAATGAGAGTCACTCGTTGTTGTTGGTATCATTTCGACCACCCTCGCATTCGCCTCTGTTACGGCCAGCGTTTAAATCGTCACCGTGAGAAATTTCCATCTCGATAGTCAGCGTCGGTAAGTGTCGCTTCAGTCGTCACCGTGAGGAGTCACCATCTCGATCGTCACCGTCACAAAGCGTCGCGTCCATCGTAACCGTAAAAAATCGCAATCCTGATCAATCCTCATCTTCGCCGACGGAAAACGTCACTTCAATCGTCAGCATCGGGAATCGTCGTAATGAGGTATCGCAATCCTAGTCGTCATCTTCCGTAAGAGTCTCTTTAATCGTCACCGTTTATTCGCCGTCCTGCTCGTTATGGTTGGAAAGCGTCACTTCAACTGTCACCGTTAGAAGTCACCATCTCGATCGTCACCGTCAGAAATCGTCGGTTCGGTCGTCAGCGTTGGTAATCGTACTTTTGATCGCCACCTTCATAAGCGGCAGTCGCTAACCGTTGTTGGAAGTGGCTGTGTCGTTCGTCACCGTCGGGAAACACCCGCTCAATCACCGTTGGCGACGTCTAGGTTTTCAAAGTCCGAAGATTGCTGACCTCGTACAATCAATCGCCATGTAAAACAGCCGTCGCCGGCAGGATATCGGCCTCGGTCATCACCAAATTGAAACGTTCGCTACTTGAGAGCGGCGTCGCCTCGGTAATTAAAGGAGCGTATGGAGATCGGAAGAAGATTTACGAAGCATCTCGGAAAATCCCCTCTCGACAGATGTCTAGAGTACTTAAACTAAGTTGTTCTGAAAACTGGAATCATTTGAAATCAGAACTGCAGTCAAGAGAGTAATTGCTGGATGGCGGAAATGAAACTGCTCCGAATGACTACAATTTCTAAGCTTCGAATGTCTCTGTCCGACAATCAGACGTAAAGCTCGGTTTACTTCTTAACGATGACTACGACTAAGGTTAAAAGGTTACTGTTCGCGTCAGGAGACACAGCCATTCTTGACGACCTTGAGATGAACGTATCTGAAGATCAGGAAGACTAAGGATACGAGTGAGAACCATTAATGGTTCGTAACAATATGGCGACCGCCATGGATTTCGGCTTAGCAAGCTTATCCTCGAGAACTCCATGAGTGAACTGCTGTGACGATGGTTAGAAGGAATGGCATTCTGGGAAGCTGGAGTATGGATTGCAGAAAGGAAGGTGACCATCGGTGAAAGAAGGCATGTTCAGAGAAAATATCATGGGGATCTAGACGGATTCAGAGTGGTGAAGAACGATTCACAGAAACGATGACCCATTTGTCCTGCTTGGGCGGAGGGCGCCGCACCGTCGGCGGAAGGTGGCAGTTTTGTGAGAGCGTTGACGACGCGGATACCCATTTCGTTAGCTAAAGCTACGACTCGCGAAATTACAGATTTGAGTTTTGCGATAACAATCTTCAGAGTCTCCGCAGCATGGCGGTCCCGCAATTTCGCCGTTCGCGCGGGAATCGAAGAATGCTTCTGACACGACGACGCTATGATGCAATGTAGCGCCATGGCCCATCATGATAACAATTCAACAATATAACGACATGCCCTTCTTGTGAGTATAAAAGTTGCTGTATTTTTCATGCAATGAATTGCAAATATATTGTAGTGAAGAAAACGGGTGATACTACTTTGTGGGCGGGAGCGTGAGTGTTGTGAGACCCTTGTTGTGGAACAAAACTCACCAAACAACCTAAGCAAGCTGTCAATTGTGAACATACACATGTGAGACACTACCTTTGTGTTGCTGGCACATTTGGTACTTGTTCCTTATGTTAGCTCTCACTTTAGAAATTGCCCTGATTGAGTTGTCCACCTCCACACACATTCATATCAAGCTTGCAAAATAACACATGGTAACAGCATGCATAGAACGTGGAGAGGTTACACAACACACCACAGCACAGGCGGCAGAGACGCACAAAACGTGCTTCCGACGCCGCCACCACACCACGTAGGTGCCGGTATAAGATGCTACTGGGTGAGTCGCAGCTGGCATTGCTGTACCATGGCCGAGAACCGCTGCAGGTCACCTGCATCCCATGTCACCAGCATGCCATGCCATGCCAGAGGGGGCTCGACCTGAAAGGTGACGTGCATTGCTCCTGCCGCTGCTGATGCTTCACTCTGTGTCTGCTCCGCTGCTGCTGCACGTGCCACTCCTGGCCCAATGCCATTCCCATCTCCGGCTCCCTGTGCTGTCAGTGTACCCTGCATGCCAGGGTAGTGGAGCAAGTCAAACAGCGCAGTGGGAAGGAATAGAGTGAGAGGGGGCAGGGGAAAGGAAAAAGGGGGTGTTGGGATGGGGTTACTAGATGAAGACTTTCGTCACTTGCATTTAGCATGTGAGTGATGCTGGAATGAGAATCTCTTTGGTGATTCCGTGGGCATGAGCAAAGGGAGAGAGAAAAACTGTGGGAACACGGGCTGGCTGGGGAAGGGGATGGGCGTGGCATGGGAGGGGAGGGGGAGGGGAGGAGGAGGGGAGGGGGGTGTCAAGGTTGATAAGGGAGAATCGGATGGGGAACAGAGCGAAGAGAAAGTGGAATGCATAACGTGCATTGGGGAGGAGCATCAACAGCTGTACAATGCATAAGAGACGGCTGTCGATGCTGTGGCATTGCAAGGTAAGTAAAAGGAGGAAACAGTATGCCAGGGTCCTGATGGAGTGGAGGTATATAGCATGGCAGAGGCAGGGCGTGAGAGGTATTAGGTCACCTGGAGGGTCAGCGTGTGGTGGTTGGGCTGAATGGCCGTCACTCCACTATCCCCCACCACACGCACCAGCTGCTGCCACACTGCCCCCACCGCCCATGATCCCTTCAGCCCCTGGTGATGCAGTGTGGTGGGGGGATTGGTGGGGAGTTGGGCTGAGAACGAGAGCATGGGTGGGTTGAGGTGCATGGCACAGGGCACAGGGCACAGGGCACAGAGCACAGGGCACAGGGCACACGGAACATGGAATAGAAGATATTGCATTTGAACACTCGGATCGAGCTCCTGAAGCAGTACAAAGACACACCCATGTCCGTTGGCCTGACCCTCCACCCCTTCTTCCCCATCTATCCTACTACTCGTCATCCCTCACCCTCCCCCATTCTTCCGCCCACGCCCCTCTCCCCCGTCCTTCCCCATTCGCCCACAGCCAGCCCTCTTCCCCTCACCACTCGCCCCTTGAGCGCACCTGGAGTGTGAAGGACGTCTTTGGGCGCAGCAGGGGCGTGGGAAGGGCACACGGGAGGGAGCGGCGAGAGGGTTGTGCGGATGATGGGGGAGGAAGCGAGGGGCCAATGGAGGAAATGGAGGGGCTCATTGTTGGGGGAGAGGAGCCAATGGGGGGAGCGGAGGGGCCAATGGGGGGAGGGGAGGGGCCAATCGGGGGAGGGGAGGGGCCGATGGGGGGAGGGGAGGGGCCGATGAGGGGAGGAGAGGGGCCGATGGGGGGAGGAGAGGGGCCGATGGGGGGAGGAGAAGGGCCGATGGGGGGAAGGGAAGGGCCGATCGGCGGAGGGGAGGGGCCAATCGTGGAGGGAGAGGGGCCGGTGTGTGGGGGAAGGGAGGGGCCAATTGATGGGAGAGAGGGGCCGATGGGGGGAGGGGAGGGGCCAATGGTGGGAAGAGAAGGGCCAATGGTGGGGGTAGTACTGGGAGTGCTGGAGCGGGAGAGGACGAAGGTGGAGGAGGGGCGGTGGAGGGGGATGAAGGACCACGCTATACCCCAGCGGGACGTGCGCCCCTGCACAAACTCCGTTGTGGCTATACGCGGCACCTGGCATGGGAAGGGCACGGGGTGGGAACGAGGGCGAAGGGAAGCGGTGGGCATGGGGCAGAGTTCTTCAGTGACCACAGGAATTCGTTTATATGCCCTCATGCAGATGTGCCGGCATGGGTGGACACTAAACAGCGGGCTAAACAGCGGGCGAGCATGAGGGCTGAGAACATGCGTTGGTTGGTGGAGTGATGGCAGCACTGACATGCAGGGAGCACAGGTGAGCGAGTAGGTGCTTCAGGTTGACCTTCCTCCCCACCATGGACGTGTACCACCTGTGCCATGCATGCAATCCATGCACCCATGCGGTCATGCGGTTGGATTAACCACATACCATGCACATGTATCATGCCCCTCAAGCATCACTAGCTCACTCACACACATACACACACAAATACACACATTACAGCAGGCACGGGTAGACAGGGAGAGGGGGGTAGGGACCCAGAGAGGGAGTTAGCTATCGTGGTGCGGTCTTCCCACCGACCGTGCCATACCACGTCATGCCCGCATGCCCCACGCAGCTGCTCTGACCCGGTTCTCCATTCCCCAGTGGGCCCCAATGTACAGCCCAGTGTGAACACTCTGTGTCCACACACAAGCGCGCACACACACCCCCCAGGGTCAACCCTCCTGCTGACAGCGCAGCGCACCTGATGCGAGTGCGCAGGGCACAGCTGTCATGCACGATGCGGCGAATGAACGCCAGCTCCCCGCCCGCACACACCATCTCCGCTGCCGTGCCGCCACACGCCGTGCGCGGGTTGGCACCGGCCTGCTGCAGGGACTCGAAGAAGGGCGGGTTGCACATGCACGCGTCAAACACCTCGCCTTCCTCAACCACTCCCACCAGTATCGGTGCCTCTCCAGGTGCCCCCTCCTCCCCTGCCCCACCACCTTTTCCGCCCTCGCGCTCCCCCCCCTCCCCCTCCCCCTCGCCCTCCCCCTCCCCCTCGCCCTCCCCCCTCCCCCTCCCCCTCCCCCTCCCCCTCCCCCTCCCCCTCCCCCTCCCCCTCGTCCTCACCATCTCTTTCCGTCATGCCATGCTCCCTTGCTTCATTCCCCATCCCGCCCCCACACACTTCATTCCCCTCTCCCTCACCTGCTATTCTTCCCCCCCTCCCCACCAAATTCTCACTTGTTCCATTTTCATCCGCCCTCTCCTCTCCCTCCCTCACGCATCCCCCCTCAGCGCCTCTTCTCAATCCCACTCCTCCTTCCTCCCCAGTCCTCAACACCAACCCCTTACCCTGCTCCTCCACCCCATTTTCCCCGCTTAGACGTTCCCCATCCGCCCCATGCGCCCCATGTACCCCCCCATCCGCATGGATCGCATGCACCCCATGCACCCCATGCACCCCATGCACCCCATGCACCCCATGCACCCCATCACCCTTCACCGACCCATCCTCCCCCAGGGAATGCCCTCCCTCCCTCGCGTCTCCCCCTCCCCCTGCGCGCCGTATGCCAATGAGTGGTGCCAGGTGGGGGTTGCGCGCGCGGTTGGCCTGTGCGCCCTGCAGGGCACCCTCTGTCACGTCTGGCGCAGAGGGGGGGTTGGCAATGGGGGAAATCAAGGGGGAAATGCAGATGGGGAGAGCACGGGGAAGAGGGTAAGTGGGCAGTAGTGTTGCAGCATGGAAGGACTCGCTGAGAGCGGGTGAGTGGCGTGGCATGGTGAGTCGTACCAGTGGCAAGGAACGACCAGCCAAACATGGCGGCACCCAGCAGCGGGTAGATGAGGTTCGCCCCCGTGCCTATGTCCACCACCCGCACTCCTCCCCGCCCCCCCTCCGCCCCTCCTTCCCCCCCTCCCTTTCCGTCTCCTTCCGCCCCTCCCTCAATCCCTCCTTCCCGCCCTCCTTCCCCTTGTCCCTCTCCCGCTCCTACCCCCCTTCCATTCCCCCCTCCGTCCGCCTCGCCTGCCCCTGGCGGCCCTGCACCTGCCGCAGTGCGCTCTTGTGCGCCACAGGCGGGGGGGGCGCCATGAGAGGAGGCTGGGAGCGAGGCGAGGAGGACGTGCAGCCAGAGCAGGTAGTTAGTGCGGTTGGGCACGGTGGGGCACAGATGCCCGTGCTCTATCCACCTGCATGGTATGGCATGGTGGGGCGTGGCATGGTATGGCGTGGCATGACGTGGTGGGGTGGGTTGGGATAGGGTGCACAGCGGTCATCACGATTGGATGAGTTGAGTGGTTCTGACCCAGCATGCACGGAGTGGAGTGGGGTGCATGCATCATGCATTCACAGTGGAAATAAAAAGGAGACATGCATAAGAGATCTCCTAAGCCAGCCACATGCAGACACATGCGCACAGGTCATTCCCCTCTCCCCTTTCCCTCATTCCCGCTTCCCCCTCCCTTCTTCTTCATCCTCATGCCACCACCCATCCCCACCCCTTTTTGCAACTGTCCCGCTCGCCCCTCCCCTTTCGCCCCTGCTCCTCGCTCCCCGAACGCCTTTCCCTCCTTCCCCCCCCCCCGTCCCTCCCTCCCCCCCACCCACCGCACCAGTCCACGCCAAAGTCCGTGTGAAGCAGAGCTCTCGTCAGCTCGCGCGTCGCGTTGTAGTTGCTCCACATGAACCCCACCGGCCCGCCCGCCCGTCGCGCCGGCAGCACGAACGGCGACAGCGCGGGGTGCTGTTCCGCCAGCGCGCGAAAATCAGGCGGATTCTCCGCATACCGATTCCGCGGATGCATGGCGCGCGCCTTCTTTGCGCCAGTCTTATCTTAGGATCGTAAACACCTTAGTCGGCAATAGTCTACTTGCTATTGCTTATCGTGTTCTCCACGATCTCACGAATCCAATGATATGCGCAGCTCTGCTTGAAGTTGTCAATACACACTTCAGCAATTTTCAGAATCTCCAAGTTGTGTTTTCCAGAATGAGTACAAGCAGTTTTATTGTCAAGCAAGTCACAAAATGCGATTCGTAACTTCACTTGTTTCCCAAGTAACCCCGTGCGCCTCGTTTCACCCCGGGTCGCACACGGAACCGAACTGAATGCACCGAACACTCCTCAAGTCCGAATCTGGAACCTTCTCGAACACGCCTCGAGCTCGTACCACAGTTTCCCCCGTCGATCTCATTCTCGATACTTCTCTACTCTTCTCCTCCATTTCTCTAGTATCTTCCCGATCTCTCTCCCGCTTCTCACGCCGTAGCTTCCAATATCCACCGTAGGCCGATTTCCACCGTTTCACCTAGAATCATCCACGTGCTTCCATTTCGCCGTCATTCCGCCGTCGTAGAAGCTTTCGCCGTAGGTTCCGTGGTTGGGCGAACCAACCCTAACAATCTCCCCTGTGGTTCGTCAACCACGAACACCACTCGCACTGCTTTCCTGCTCCTTGTAGCATTCACAGGGTCTAAGTCGGCTTCACGCTCCCCTGCAGCTCCTGCACATTGAACCTCTGCTTACGTGTCTTAAAGTTGAGCGCCTTGATATCCAAACCATGAGGCATCTTCTTAAGCCTCTCGCTTCTCCTCGGAATCTTAGCACCCAACACCTCTCGGGTCTTGTACCCCTCAACGTGTTCCTCTTTCATAAGCACTCGCCCCTTTGCAGTTGCATTCGCCCTTGATCCCTTCACCATGATGCCCCCTTTCACAGCTTCAACTCCCACACACTTTGCATTTACTGCTTCATCTTTAACCACGACCGCTGCTGCAAAAGTGTTGACACCATCTCCATCTCCATCATTCACCGCTGCTGCCTCCATGGTGACTATCTCTTCTTCCTGCTTCACTGCTGCCTCCACACTCGCTCCCGTATCATCCGTGTCCTCGCTCTCATCAACCTTAGTAGACTCAGGATCCTCATAGATCTCATCCTTGTCGTTCATCGCTATCAAGTTCATCTCATAGAACCCGTCACTGAAGTATCCATCGGCATACTTCTCCCACTCAGGACCAAACACTGTAACCTCGCCTTTGTCATAAAATATCTTGCACCCCAAGTCATCAAGCTGTGACTGACTCATCAAATTTACCTTCAAATCCTCAACCAAGAGCACATTCTCCAGTTTCACCTCTCCATACAGACTTTGCAGCACCACGTCACCCTCTCCTGTCACTGGTAACTTCCCACTGTTACCTTGCAGTATATAACGCTCACTCGACTCCCTCACGTTCTCCATCCAATCTGACCTAAATGTCATGTGACGCGTGCATCCGCTGTCCATGAACCATGCCGTCTTCTCACGTCCGTCCGTCTGACGAACATCCTTCGGTAAACGCACCACGTTCGCACGATGCGCTCCTCCCAAAATCACATCCTCCTTTTCGGCTTCCGCTACATTCGCCTTACCCGCCACAATCCTCTGCTGCGACGGACCTTTGTAGCTCCTGATGTTCGGATTGGAGTAGCACTCTGCGGCACGATGCCCATAGCGCCCACAATAATCGCACTTGCCGCCAAAACCTCGTTTCTGTTGCCACTCTGCTCCCCCATTTTCTCCTTTCTCGTTCTCCACCGCTTTGCCCTTGTAGTTTCTGCTTCGCGGATTTTCGTAGCAGTTTATCGCCTTATGCCCCCTCTTTCCACACTGGTAGCACGCTCCAAACGCCTTCGTTGCATTCACCAAAGCCGGCCTCTCCTCGTCGAAATCCGTAGCTGCTGCTGCCGCTTTCTTTTTCCTCATCTCCTTCACTGTCTCAAGCGATTGCAGAATCTCCTGCAGCTTCGTCAAACTCTCCGGCGGTTGGTACGTAAACATACCGATGTCGGATTCCCACTCCTTAGGAAGGCCTTGGATGATATAGTCAATCATCTCGTGCTCCGTCTCCGCGGCTCCCATCACCCGCAAGTCGACGTTGTAGTTTTTCGCCCTGTTGATGTAGGTGATTATTTTCTCGCCTTTCTCCATGCTCAGCATCAGCAGTTGCTTCCTAATCGCCTTCTTGTTGACATCGTTCGTACCCATGTACGTGGACTCCAGGTACTCCCACGCTTTCTGTGCAGAGTTCAGCTCCCCTGCAAACTGGTCCAAATCCACAGCGATTCCATCGGCAACTGAGTGACAAAGCTGAAAGAACGCTTGCTTACTTTGTTTTTTGAACGCCGCTATTTTCTCCTTCGTATCCGTCGGGGATGGCGCAACTCCCTCCATCGTCTCCTCGTCGGGACGGTAGTACGGCAAGAGGTCAACCTCCTCTGCCCTCCGAATAAACTTCTTCCGCCACACGTTGTAGTTGCTTCCGTTGAAGCGCTGGGCTTCACTGAGCCCGATCGTCGGTTTCGCCACCAATCGGCCACTCGCAAGGGCCTCGAGAAGAGCCTTCAACTGCGGGTCTCCAAGACTCACATTGGAACCCGAACTCGCCTCGTCTCCCATGGCGTAGGCGTGAACGACTCCTCTTCTCCACTAATTTCACTTAGCGCACCAAGTGAATTCACCGCGATCGACGCGCCCGTTCGCCAAGCTCTGATACCAGTTCTTAGGATCGTAAACACCTTAGTCGGCAATAGTCTACTTGCTATTGCTTATCGTGTTCTCCACGATCTCACGAATCCAATGATATGCGCAGCTCTGCTTGAAGTTGTCAATACACACTTCAGCAATTTTCAGAATCTCCAAGTTGTGTTTTCCAGAATGAGTACAAGCAGTTTTATAGTCAAGCAAGTCACAAAATGCGATTCGTAACTTCACTTGTTTCCCAAGTAACCCCGTGCGCCTCGTTTTCCCCGGGTCGCACACGGAACCGAACTGAATGCACCGAACACTCCTCAAGTCCGAATCTGGAACCTTCTCGAACACGCCTCGAGCTCGTACCACAGTTTCCCCCGTCGATCTCATTCTCGATACTTCTCTACTCTTCTCCTCCATTTCTCTAGTATCTTCCCGATCTCTCTCCCGCTTCTCACGCCGTAGCTTCCAATATCCACCGTAGGCCGATTTCCACCGTTTCACCTAGAATCATCCACGTGCTTCCATTTCGCCGTCATTCCGCCGTCGTAGAAGCTTTCGCCGTAGGTTCCGTGGTTGGGCGAACCAACCCTAACATCTTACCCTTCATCGCTCTCCCTTCCCCCTCCCGCGCCCGTTTTCCTCGTTCCACCGCGGGCTCTGATCCCCATTTCGCCGCTCCGTTTTCGCCTTCCCCCCATTCTTCCGCTTCCCGCGTGTCGTCCATTTGTCCTCCTTCGGTGTCCATCGCCGTCGCAAAGATTCGCCTCTACAGCGACCGTGCGACAGGCGACGAGATGCGGTACGATCAACCGCGCGACAGGCGGCCAAGTACGAACAGATCGCTCACGAAACGCGAAACTACCAGAATCGCTCACGTGCGGGCGCCGCGACGGAGAGGCAGTACGAGACTGGGTGGAGAAGAGACGGAGGCGGAGGACGAGCATGGACGCGAAGCAGTTGCTAGTCTGAAAACCTTTCCATTTCTTACTGGTGACAGGGACTCCATACGGTATGCTGCAGGGGGACGCTGCGACGGGCTGGGTTCCAGTACATGTAGTCGCCAAAAAAAAACACTTGCACCTCACACCCTCCCAACCAAGAGTTCTCATTTTCACAACCAATGCTCGCTTCTCCTTCCCAACCAGTGCTCCCAAGAGGAGTTCCCAATTTGCTCAGTCTGAATTCATGCACCAGAAACGCACTGCCAAGGGTGCATGGGTCTCCCTCGTGATCTCATCCATGGCTCATGACTCGTCCGCCCTGTCAGCCCTTCACGTCCGCCATGCAGTAGCCGCGTAATCGCCTCCGCGTAATCCCATCCCCCTCCCCCATGCCTGATTGAGTTTCTGCTCGCACCGCTTCCGACTCCAACCAGGCAGCTAGCGACCAGGCCAGAATACTTCGCGATTCTGTTGCGCCGATCTTCGTTCTGCGTTTCCCCCGTTCGCCATGCGCGCGAGCAAGCGCGCGCGCACGGCGGCTTTCCCCCAGCGCCCGCGGAGCACGAGGCGTGCGGCTGCGGGGCGGGCAGGAAGGGCGCCGATCCCTCCGCACGCCGCAACCAGAGGTAGAAGCGCGTCCGTACCCGAAGCGGAACTGCCGCTTCCGCCAGCGGCGGCCCCCGCCCTGGCGGAAGCGACTGACGCTGCGCGAGAAGCACGCGACGCGGATTTATCCGCGGATCACGGCAGGAATTCAGACACGGAACGCGACGGCGGCGAGGAGCATGGCGAGGCCGACTCGCCCATGGCTCTTCTATCCGACGATGCGCTTTCGCTTGCGCTCTCCTGCTTGCCCACGCGCTTCGCGCTTTCTTCGCTCGCCTTCGTGTGCCGCCGCTGGCGCAGACTGGCGCTCCGCCACTGCGTACGCGAGCTCCGCCCCTCCCCGTTCACTCTCCGCGCCACTGGCTGCTTCGCCTCCGCCGACGGCCTAGCGGACCTCGTCCGCCGATTCTCCTCCTCTTTGCGCGCAATTGAGCTCCGCCCGCCTGAAACTTCCGCCAGGGGTTCCAGGCGAGGCGGAGGGGGGCGGGGGAAGGGGAAATGCGCGGCGGAGGCGGATGGCGCGGAACCATGTTCAGTCGGGGAGATACTGCGAAGCGCGCCGATGCTGGAAGAGGTGACTATAATTAGCTGTTTCGCTGGGTCGGAGGAAGACGGCGCGCGCGCTGCTATGACAGTCGATTCGCTCTTGTCGGTGATCTTCAGCAGCGCCGGCAGCACCAACACCACGGCCGCGGGCCCCGCTTTTGCCGCAGGGAGGAGCCAAGGCTCACGCAGCAGCGCCGGCAGCAACGACGGCAGCAGCAGCGGGGTTAGCGCACGAAACAGCAGCGCGGACAGCGGTAAGGGGAAGGGCGGCGGGGGTTCGGGGTTTACGCGGGAATCGCGGGCGGTGCGCGTGCCGATGCGACCGTTGGAGTTCGTGCAAGGCGTGCTGCCGCGCCTGCCGCGCTCACTGCAGCGCCTCGACCTCCACGCGAACCACTTCCTCTCTGCGGGCGCGTGCTTGGGGGGGAGCGACCCCGAGGGCGGGGGAGAGCCGGGGGGGGAGGATTTGGGGGGAGGACACGCGGAAGCAGCAGCGCGGAGGCGGGAGGGAAGGGCGGGCGGAGAGGACGAGGAGCAGGCGGGAGAGGGCGCGGGTGATGGTGCGTGTGAGCGTGCGCTGCCGTTACCCCAGCACGCCACTCCCCACGACTCCTTCCTCTACGCCGTCGCCTCCTCTCTCCCCGCACTCCGCGCTCTCGACCTCGACACGCCCTCTCGCCTCTCCCACGCCGCCGTGCTCCACCTGCCGCTCGCCCTGCCGCGCCTCACGAGCCTGTCGCTCTCTTCCAATGCCATCACATGGCCCACTGTCTTCTCCCTGCTCGCCCTCGCGCCCTCGCTCCGCTGCCTCTCCCTCGTCTCCTCCGCACTCACCACTTCCCCCTCTCGCCCCCGCAGGCCCGCCGTCCCCTCCTCCGCCCCTCCAGGTCCTTCCACCCTTGACTCCTTCCCCTTCCCACGGCCCGCCCTTGCTGTGGGTGCTACTGCCGCAATGGATCCACTGAGCAGCACCACCAGCAGTAGCAATCCGTCTGCCCTGCTGTCCGCCCTGCCATGCACCCTCCCGGCGCTCTCCTCCCTGCGCCTCTACACGGCGCCGCATCGCTCCGTGCAGTGGGACATGAGCCCCGCACACTCCCTCCTGCGCGCCCTCCTCGCCCTCCCCGCTCCTCCCTCTGCCTCCACGCGCACCCCCATGGCTCCCACCTCTTCTCCTGGCCCAGCCTCCGCAGCAACAGCGTGTGCACCAGACAGCGGTTCTGCTGCTGCCGCTGTCTGTGTGCCTATCTCTAGCAGCACGGCCCTCGCAGCACAGCTGCCCGTGCTTGCAGCGACCGGCACAAGGTCCCCAGCAGCAGCATATGGGAGCACGGGGGGTTCGGGGCTCATGGCACGCATAGCATCCAGAGCGGGCGCTGCTGGTGCGGGTGCTGCTGCCACTGGCGGGCCCCGGGGTGTCGGGTCAATAGGATCAGTGGGTGCATGCTCCCTGCGCTCGCTGCACGCGCAGCACACCTTCAGTGCATCCTGGCAGAGCATAGGTGTGTGCTGCCACGGACTCACAGAGCTCGACCTCTCCTTCCCTCCGCGGCCCCACTCCCCCTCCACATGGGGCGGAGCAGCAGCACAGGGAGGGCTAACAGGTATAGAGGAGATCGTGCTTTGTGGGACTCTCTCCATGCTGCCTCACCTGCAGCGCCTCGCTCTGCCAAGCGCCAACGACCAGGTGCTCACTCACGTGGCCCGCTGCTGCCCCAACCTCTCCTCCCTCCTCGCGCAGCCGCACATCCTCGCCACCTCCCCCGATGCAAGCCTTCCTCGCTGCCCCCCTCAGCCGCATGTGACAGACGACGGCGTGCGGGCGCTGGCACATGGCTGCACGCGATTGGTCCATCTGAGCTTGGCAGGGTGTGTGCGTGTTGGGTCGGCAGTGCGGCAGCTGGCATACCACTGCCAGCAGCTGCGAGTGCTGAGGCTGGAAGGCAGTGCTGTGGACGATAAGGCTGTGCTGGGAGCACTCTTTGGTGGAGCCTGGAAGTGGCATGCTGTTCATCCCTCTTCTTCCTCTGCTGCTGCTGGTGCTGCTGCTAACGGGGCTGGTGGTGGTGCAAGTGGTGCTGCGAGTGTCTCTGGCGGCCGTGGTACCGGTGGCGTGGTGCAGCTGCTGCTTCCTAGGCTTGTGCTCCTGGACCTGTGGGGCTGTGCTGCTGTCACCTCTGAGTTGCTACTCGCCATTCTGCAGGCAGCAAGGGAACTGGCGGCAGCAGCAGCAGAAGCAAGGAGCGGAAAGGAAGCAGGAGAGAAAGAAGTCGTGATTCCTGAAGGGGCATTAAAAAGCAAGGATTAATGAGAGGCCTCCTGGAGGAAACAAGCACACAAAGCGTGGAGGGGAAGAGGTGGTAGAACGCAGGTCCAATGGTGGTCAGCTTCACCTTCAGCTGCGGCGCCTCATGGTGTCCCCAAGTGTCCTCAAGGGATCCAAAGGGAATGGCAAGGGGGGGATAAAGAATAAGGCTGATGTGAGTGTTGAAGGGGTAGATATTACACTGGTCTTGCAAGGCTTGAAAGAAGAGTTGCCTTCACTGATGGTAACTTGTGGAAGAACAGCAAAGGAGTTGCTGCCATGGGATGGTTTCTTTCATTGGAAGCAACCTTGGGATGAAGCAGTGAAGCAGTGAGCAAGTTGCTGGTGGTGGAAGTGGGGTGGGTGCGGTTAAAGCCGGTGTACAGCATTGATTTTTTTTACCGTACTTAATTCTGGTTGAAATTTCAGACACTTGTACAGACAGATGCTTTTAGCTTTCAAGTCAAGTAATACAGATGCTTTCAGCTTTCAATGCAAGTATGGATCAAAGTAAACATTCAAGTGTTCAGTATACACAGTACGAGATGTTGCAGAACATTAGCATGTCCTAAAGCATGTTGCTGCTACTCAGTAGGATAGATGCCACTAAGGTTGCTGCTACGGCAAATCATCAAAGCATGTAAGTAAGGTACCTGCAGAGCACAAAAAAAAGCGTTAGTAATCAGGCAGAAGATGAAAGCAGTAACCCTAGAGCAACCAGAGCGACTCACATGGATACAAGACTGTCTTGGCCTGAAAGAAATGGCTGCTGAAGGCATGGCGATGGGCTGCTGGAGGCATGGTGACTGGCTGCTGAGGTATGGCCATCCTCCCCCACCTCAGGGAGGACTGGCCAACCCTCAGAGTCGCTAAATCCAAGGCATGCGGGAGCCCATTCTCATAGAATGAATCTGTCGATACAGAGCTGCTGCAGTCAGCTCTGTATTGACAGACTCAGTCTATATGGCCCGGATCCGAGTGTTTAGACAACCCCAAGGGTCCCTCAGCACCATGCCTTCTCATGCCTTCATGCCACTTGCCATGGCTCCAGGTTACCTGCAGGAGGACAAAAAAGTAGTCAGTCCTCAGCCAGAGTGTGCAGGAATGCAGAAAGCATTGAATTGAGCTGCTAAAAGGTAAAAAAATACCTTGATTGCTGAGCTGAGCATCTTCAGTGATGGCTGTCATTGAAGATCTTCCATGTTGAACCACCTGCAGGATGAGAGAAAACTGTTAGTGAATGTTACATTCCACACGAACTTGATGCTGGAAAATAAATTTTACCTTGGAAAGCCTTGGATCTCAAGTCCATTGAAGATCTCTTGATTGATACCTGCAGGATAAAGTGAAGATATTAGTAATGTGTCACAAACTTCGACTGCCAAAAGATGAATAAGTTACCTCTTGAGGGATACTAGAAACTTGGGACTTCAGATTGTAGAGTCTTGGCCATCTTCAGTGGAAAGTGTCCGTTGACATGTTGAAGCACCTGCAGGAAGAAAGTGGAAAGTTAGTGAGTGTACCACACATTAAAACTGCCAAAAGATTAAAACATCACCTTTTAAGGGAAGCTTAAATCTTGGAACTTCATATTATAGACGCTTGGCCATCTTCAGTGGAAAGTGTCCGTTGATATGTTGAAGCTCCTGCAGGAAGAAAGAGGAATGTTAGTGAGTGTGCCACACATTAAAACTGCCAAAGGATTAAATAATTACCTTGAGAGCCTTCAATCGTTAAGCTTGAAATGACTAATCCCCGAATGCTTGGACGTTGAACATGCTGAGTGGTGGTTATTTGTTGAAGGCCTTCAGAGTTGAGGTACCTGCAAAGCGAATGAAGGAAAGGGAGGGGGATCGATGAGTACAAGTGACAGTAAAAAAAACAGAGGGGCAAACATATGCATGCATGATGGGTGCAGTAGCATGGTTACAAGGGTGCTCACCACCACAACCACAAGAGCCATATACCAGAACCTTAAGGGACCTGAAGAACTCACCAGAAAGAGTACCTTGTTAAAAAAAAAAACAGGGAAGGCTCAAGTGGCGGTAATGATGTGCACCCAAGCATTCATGGTATGCAATGGAAGGCGAAAATGTAATGATGATGGCTGAAATAGCAAAAACATGACCAACAGGAAACAACGAAAGAGAAGCCAAGGTCGAGGAATACTTAGCTTTCATTTGAAGTGTTAAAGGTTGTGGACTTCAAGACTTGAGTTGAAGAAGTCTTGAAATTGGCTCCAAGTGTTGGCTTCAAGACTTGAACGTCGACTTCAAGTGTTGAAGCGCCTTGCAGCTCCGACGCGGTTGATGGAGTTGACGAGCCTCTGCCAGTCAAAGGAGGGAGAAGGGGGGGTAAGTACAAGTGGCACTGGAAGGTCCTCCAGACGGGAAAGGCAAGCATAAGCATGATAAATGTCATGTATGAATATGGAGATGCACGCAGCAAGATTGCTCACCACCACAGCCACAAGAACCAAATACAAAAAAAAAAAACCAAAAGAGAACCTAGGGACTCACCAGAAAAGGGTACCTTAAAAAAATACCTATACCATATGGGGGGGATGGTTCATGCAGCAGCTGTGGTAAGCGCTCAAGCATGGTGGGCATGAAAATGAATAATGAGCGGAAATGAAGTTGAGCGGAACAAGGTGGAAAATGATACTTATCTGCACTTGGGTTGCATGTCTTGAGTCTTCTTCGAAAATTTGGGCTTGCAAGTTGTCTATCCTTGGATTGGAAGTTGTTTTGTCGTCTTGCCTCAGTGTGTTGCCTTCGAGCTCATCCACTTAGTCTTGTATTGTTGAACGCCAGCCGTGTTGCATGGGCTGCTCCCGGTTGATTAAAAGCGCCAGAGGAGCACCTGCCAGCAACAAAAAAAGAAGTCAGTTTAAGAAACGAGAGGACGCCATAAAACAACAAAAGCGACGAAGTAATTTGGGGAGAAGGGGAATGTTTTCCAGCCAAAGCAACCACACCGCAGTGCTCAGACAGACCGACGCAGCTATGCTTGACTTAGCGACGCTGACGCTAGACTGACCTAAAGAGACTAACGCGGACCTAGGGGAGGAGACAGGGAGCTCTACGGGCGGTGCTTTGGCTGGAAAACAAATAAATAGTGGTACGAACGAAATTGAAAGCAGAAAAGAAAACTGCGACAGTCGTGGAAGGAGCACTTAGCTGGAAAGCTCGACAGCAGGCTGGTGAAGAACTCAGGCTGGCGAGATCCGATGCACTTAGATTGTCGAACATGCGAGCAGAGAAGGCTGAACGGTTGTGTTGTCACCGACGTGAAGAGTGCTGCACAGCGAAGGCTGAAAGCCTCGCAAAGTTGAACGGAAGGCGAGAAGGCGAGGTTGAAGTTCCCGAGGCCGAAGAGCATAACGGAGAATGTGGGCGTAGCATTGGAGAACCTTGGAGGTTGGAATGTGAGAGATGATGAGCTGCTGTTTTAAAATACGCGTGGCTAACCACGAATTGAGAGAACGGACGCATAGCAGACGACCAATCCCTACACGCAATCGACACGGTTTCGAACCGCGACCGTTGAAACTGGCGGTAATAGCGGCTGACTGGGAACATTTGGGAGGGGACTACCTTGGGTGGATATTGAGGTTTCGAAAGCTAGTGAGGGAGAGGCTCAGGCACAGCGGGTTCCAGAGAATTAGATTTGGGGAGCGGCTGTGTGTCAGAATAGCAGGATGGGGTGGAGCGGGGGTTTGATGATGTATTGGATGGTGCCGTGCCGAGGTGGGTGAGCTTGTGCTTGGGCTGTCTTGCGACCAGCGCGAAATTGGGAAAATACTGGATTCCCTGTTTTCGCCCAAGCGAAAAGTTTCGTCGCGTCATGGTAGTCGGTGAGTGTTCCAGTTTTCCGCAAACACTAGCCGGGGAATGGCAGGTTTTGTGCAGAAATGGCGCGCGGGCGAAGCGCCCTGTGCTGCGCGGGGCAGAGTGTGCTCCACAGCGCCGCAATGTACACCAGCCAATCTCTTAGGCAAAGAAACGATATCACAATAGCCCTATCTTCATTTGAGAAACGGGGGCTCTATAGTGAGGACAATTCCAGAGAAACAGTCAACCGGTGAGGATGCGTTGAAAATGACATATCCATTGATTTTGCACTACGGGCCAATAGCGTTGGCCCAAAAGTCCATGTGGCTCTTTCGCTGTGCAAGCGAACCAGCTCCACTTTCCTTTCTTGATGACGAGCTCTCTCCCCACAACTTTTTCCAAGTGCCACCAACCACAGACCTTTTACCCATGTGAACCGAACTTTTGCTTTGGAAACTCGGGGATTCGGCTCGGGTTACACCAACTTTTCGGTGACGCCCTCAGCGATTCGTCGGCTGTTATTCACCGAACCTGAGTACGAGCTTCGACGGCGCGCTGCTCTCGCCTGGCCTGCCAGTAGCGGTTCGCTTACAGTACCTGCTGCTGCCGCAGCTCATTGCGTCACTCAACTAACTGCCCCTGCTGCCGCAGCTCATTGCGTCACTCAACTAACTGCCCCCACCCCACACCACACACCCCTGCTTCGGCAGCTTGACTGACAGTGCGCGGGCGGACTCGCATCGTTTCCAGGGAGCTGGTGGAATGGCAGGTGGGTCTGTCTGTGGCATTGCTCTAGTCCAGTCTAGCGCGATGTGGAGTGGAACAAACTACACGCTCGCTGCTGGGCTCCATAAGGAAAGCTGGAATCTCAATTATCAGCTGGTGAGTTCACACCTGCCGATTTATCAGCAGCACTGCAATTATTTGAGGGATCTGTTGGGCCAGTGTCACACCACTTAGTTTCTTGTCCGGAAGCCTAGTAACACGCCACTTTATTTTCTATCCTTAGTTGGTTATCTGTGGTCTTATTACGGGTATGGAAATGGAAGCATGCGGTCCACTCCAGTCCTTATCGTCCGACGAGTTGCCGCATTTCTCGGCGGGAACATCCGGGAAAGTTCTATGGACATGCGAGAAGGACCGGGATTTCCGCCTAACGCGGGCGCGCGAGATGATGGCTCACGCGAGCGATTCGGAGCGACGGCAGCTGGAGTCGTTTTACCCTGAACTTCGGAGCGGCACGGACGACTTTGATGAGGTCGCAATGGACGGCGATGATTTGGCCACGATCGACTTGGACGACCCTCCACTGTTCTTCCTCCACGTCGGTCGCGACTGGGTCAGTCAGTAATGCTCACTGTCTGACCGTGCTAAGTGGACTGTTTTCTACTTGTGGTCCGCAGCGCGCGGTGGTCATGGCTACTGCTGACATGAAATATTGGATGGGCGACACGCGTCTCGTTTCTAACGTTTATCGATTTTCTAACACCCGAATGTGTCTTTTGCGTATCCTTTCGCTCGTTCTCCCAACTATCCGTCCTTTTTTATTCCCGTTTCTGCTCGTTCGCCTGGCCCTCCCTCTCCCTAATAGCTTGAAGCTGACGTCACCACGTCTACTAACAGCATCGATTTCGGCCTTATAGGCTGTCAGCTCTCTTCCGCTGATTTCGTCGGCTTGCGCGAGGTACCGCATGCAGCGGCCTCCGCAGATCTTCCCTCCGCGGATCTTCATCTCCAGCCGCCGACTTCCGCCGCCAAATCCGCTTCCGCCGCAGCCGCCGCCGCCGCCGCCGCTTCGCGACGCCCGCGTGCCTTTTTATCGTCGCTGCTCGTGCCCTCCGCTAAACTCGCTGGCGGCGCAGCGACGCGCAAGTCCGCGTCGGGATCCGCTGCTGCCGCCTTGGCTGGCGGAACGAACGGCGTGGCGCGCACGCGGCACAGCGTGCCGGATGGGGGTGAACGGCACGGCGCGCGGGATACAGGGCGGGCGCAGGAGACAGGGGAGGGTAATGGCGTGGCACTGAACGGGGGAAAAGGGGGTTTCGGTGGAGGGGAAGAGCAGAGCCAGGGGAGGCGGGGGACCTGGTCGTGCGGAGAGAACCAGGGGCAGCGCGGGAAGGTGGGAGGCGGATGGGCGGAACGGGGCCTGCGCACGTGGGAGATACTGTGGAAGGACAGCCGGTGGGACGGGCCCATGCGACGACTGACTTTCTCGTGCAACGCCAGCGGGTATGGCGAGGACGTGTGTAGGCGGCGTGTGGGGTCTCATGGGATAGACGGGGGGTGATGTGAGGCGACATATGGGGTTGACATGGTGCTGATGGGAGCTGCGGGTCTTGGGAAGTTGCAAAACTGATCAAGTAGTGCTGAGGAAACGAAGCATCGCTACCAGGGGAAAGTGAATACGATACCCTTGCATGTTATCTATGCCACGTGGTCTGGGCCACCCACATGGAATCCTCAAGATTTGCCAACACATCCCCACGTTCCATTTCACCCCCACGTCCTATGTCCGACCCGCCCCACGCGGCACCAGGTACAAGGCGATAGAGAGCAAGATAAGCGAGTGGGCAGCAGCGGCGCACAGCACGGCCATCATGATCGACGCCAGCAAAGCCGCCATCCGCGCCCGCTCCTCCTCCTCCTCCTCCGCCTCCTCCCTCTCCTCCTCCTCTGCCCCTCACCGCCCCAGCACAGGCGGTACGGCAGTAACAGCAGGGCCAGCAGGCGCGAGCAGAGCACGAGTGGCAAACGGTGGCGCCACCAAGGGAAAAGGTTCAGGTTCCAGGGGTATGCTACGGAGCCCGTCTGATAGTGCAGTATCAGAAAGGGGTGGAGTGGGCATGCGTGCGGGAGCGTCACAAGAGGGGGTGGTGGGCGAGGCTGTGCCGAGTGGGGAGTCGACGGTGGGCGGGTGGGCTGTGTTCTACGGCTCCCTGCCTGCCAACGACGTTGCTGCCCTGCCAGCACACGCCGAGCAACCACGGGATGCAGCAGAGGAGCAGGCCCAGGGTAGGGTTCGCGAGCAGAAGGACGAGAGGGCAGAGGATGTGAGGGCGGGAGGGGAGGAGCCGCAAGCAGCAGCGGTGCAGGGTGTAGGGAGTGAGAGGGGCGAGAGGCCATGTGGTGCTGGGGAACTGTTGGTGGAAGGAGGCGGTGCAGACATGTCAGGTGGAGGGGTTGAGGAGCCGACCGTGTGTGAGGGAGAGAAGGCGGCGAAAGAGGTGGACTCGGGTGCGGTGCAAGGGAATGGCATGGCGGAGGAGGGGATGAGGGGCAGTGAGCCGGCAAAGGGGGGCAGCAGTGCTGGTGAGGAGATGGAGGGGGGCAATGGGGTTGAGGTAGTGGCGAAGGAAGAGGAGGTCCGGGAGGTGGCAGAAGAAGGGGGGGAGGAGAAGGAAGAAGTGGAGGAAGAGGAAGAGGATGAGGAGTGCAGTGTGATTCGGTGGGGTTCAGTGGCTGTGGAGGGTCGGTTCCTCCCCTCTCGGGATGCTCCTTCGCAGCTCTTATCTGATGGCAACTGCAAAGCGGTCAGTGCCTCTTCATGCCTCCTGGCGTTCTCTCCCACCCTGCCCCATCACAATAACTTCAACCCGAGGGCCAATCTGTCCACACCGCCCAGCCCAGCCTCTGCCTATTCTGTGCCTGCTTCCAAAGCTGCGCCTCAGCATGTGCATTGGTGCTTCTACATCTCCCTCCCACCGTGCACCCCAACCCCCACAGCTGGCAGTGGCTCTGCCTGCTCGCCTGCGCACGGCCCGGTGGACGCTGCTGTACAGCACTGCCAGGGACGGCATCAGGTAAATGGGGCTGCTGCCACCCGAGTGCCATGGTTGAGAGAAGCGTGCATGGAGGGCAAGGTTGGGTGATGGGTGGTGTGCATGGCATCACCGTGCAGGATTAGTGAAATAGGAGGTGCATTGCTCTCACTGTCTGACAACGGCAACGGCGTGGTTGCTCCAAGGCACCACAGTTACTCTACTCCTCTGCACAGTTTCCCTTGCTACCATTCTTCAAACAATCCTGATGCCATTAGTGCACTCGCCAGCAATCGCACCACCCCTTTGCTGCAGCCTCCTCGTCGTAATTCTTATTCAACTCTCCTGCACTGCCTCCCTCCAATTGTCCCCATGGTGCTGTCCCATCCCGCACTTGTCCTCATCAGTCTGGCCACGCTGTACCGCAAAGTGGCGAAGAAGGGGCCCTCGCTGCTCATTGTGCGCGATTCCCGCAAGCATGTGAGCCCCCTTACCGCCTTCCTTTTCTTTCCTCCTCTTTTCTCCGTTCGCTCCTTCCCCTCCCTCCATCTCTTTCTCACTATGTAAGTGACATTCACAGGGCACATGGTGGTCATGCAACAAATTATCCAATGCATGTTTTGTGTCCCATGCCGCATGTCCCGTGCCATGGCATGAGCCAGGTGTTTGGCTGCTTTACATCAGAGGAATGGAAGGCCTCTACTCGTTATTATGGCAACGGGGAGTGCTTCGCCTTCCAGGTATGTCTATGGCACATGCACGGTGCGTGTATGGTGCTCACAATTCCTTCCATCCATGATGTGTGCACCAACACCCCATGATGTCACACGTTCTCACCTATCATATCCCCCCACTTGCCTGCTTTGTTCGTAAGTCCAAATCCCCCTCATTTTCCCGCTCCCAGCTTTCCAATCAGCTCATGTGCGACAATTCCCGAACCCGACCGGTTCTCTGACTTCCTGTCACTCTTCAACTGTCACCGATCTCCCCATTCTCCCGTCAATCCTACCGCAACCCCGCTTGGTCCTCTCCCCTTTTGCCTTTCCATGGCATACCCACCAGGTGCGGCCTCGGCTGATGGCTTTCCGGTGGACACGGGTGAACGCACTGTTCATGCTCTCCAGTGCCAACTCCCTCGCTCTCGGTGGCGGGTGAGACCCACATGCCACCAGCCCCATCATTCTGCCATGCTGCCATGCCGTTATCTATCACACCACAGTGGTCTTGCAATGTTCTGTAGCATGCGTGTGAGGCTTGCAATGTTCCGTGCTTCAAATATGGTGCTGATGCATCACTCACATCGTCTGAATGGTTTGCCCCTTATCGAAGACTCTGCTCTGGCTCATACTGGCAGTATGTGAATCATATTTGTTTGATATGAATGCATCTCATCCCTGCTATGACCTTTTGATCTTGAGCTGACTCCGATCCGATTCCTTATCTTTGCCGCAAATCCACCCCCCTACATCCCCACTTTTCCCTTCGTCACTTGACAAAATTCTTTTTCTTCGAATGCTGCCGGCGACCAACGAAACGTGTGTGGTGAACATGGCAGGGATCACTACAGCCTGCTGCTGCAGTCTGACCTGCTGTCAGGCTACAGTGGACCCTGTTCCACCTTTGGCAGCTGCTCCCTCTCAAGGTATGTTTCTCACAGAGCAGAAGATTCATGTCTAATGCAGAGCAAGCACATGCATCTATCCCCCATGCCCTTGGGCAGAGAAATTGGAGATGCCTGATGTGGTCTCTGGTGCAAATGTACTCTTTGTGTTGGTGGGTGCCATTTGTGTGTGTGTGTGTGATGGAAGCAGCACGGAGGACTTCAATGTGACACATGTGGAGGTGTGGGGCTTCAGATGATACCATACCAGCGCTATGTATCTTGAGTGTTGGGAGTTTTCTTGGTGGCTGGGTTGCAAGAGTGCCAGTCATAGTCCATTTGGCTAACAATGGCTTAATGTGCAGATTATAGATTTCGGATTGTACTGATGCGTTGTGGGAAAAGAAACACTATGCATTATATTAAATGGCAGTATATATATGCCTAAGTACCTCTGTCTTACAGAAACGCCCCAATCATCACATGCACTTCTTGGATGTGGGTGGTGCTACTTACGAGGGGTATGTCCCACGTGACCAGAATATCCAGCGAGGCGAGATCATGCAGTCTGATTGGATGGCGGCCAGCGGTAGCGAGAATGCGGGGAAAGGTTATGAGTACGCTGGCAAGAATGGATGACGTGGTGTCCTTTATGACGACTACGACTCCCTACTCCACCGTAATTTGCTGAGCGCTGCAGCCTCCTCGGGTATTGTGCGAAACAAACACGAAGGATGATTGGTGGATCTTCTTTTCGAGGGCGCCACAATAGCCTGACCGACGATTGGGATTTTTGACATGCCAAGGTTTCTGCCCCTTGTACATTGAAGGGGTAGTCGGGTGGCCTCTGGCCACACTGTGCATCGTAGCGGCAGGGAAACGAGGCGAGGCTTGCCTACAAGGGAAAAAAATCGTCAAAGTGCAGACATCATCATACCTGCCTGGTTAGAAAAATCTTCTGTCAGGGCAGCAATACTCTCATCCAATCCCCTGGCATTGCGAGAAGGAAGGCCTCGTCTATTCCGCAAAGTTACATGGTTTTCCGTCGCTGGCGAGACGCAAGGCAGTTTTGTGCACTGTTGTCACGACTAACGACACTGCGAACAAGAGCCGCGAAGTGGATGTGATTGTTGTTGGGGAGCAAGAAACCGAAATCTTGATCTTCTCGCCCTCACTGCTCCGCCACCTCTCACTGTGCTATGCGTGCTGGAATTTCACAAGCAGAAATCTAACAAGCTGCCTCATTGACAGGATTTCACATGAAGTTAGCTGTTGTATGCTCTGGAAGGCCATTTGTTCGTTTTCCGTGTCCTTTTCTCCGAAGCTTACTGAGCTGTGTTCGGCTTATGTGCTCTGGAGTGCGGTGTTTTTCAATGGAGCCTTGTTGTGCCATGAATCTCCTATGATCGAGCAGTGGCGAACTCTAGGTCAGTAGTCACTATGCCAGGTTTGTTCGTTGTCACTCATTCCTGCTTCACGATGTGATGTTTTCCGCGTCTTGCCTGTCCTCGTCTGTCATTTCCATTGTAACATCCAACTGTCCAACTCACGTCCTCCCTTCACTGGATTCCTACCACTTCTTACATCCGTTTTTAGTTTTGTGTTCTTTACCTTCCCTCCGTCCACCTGCCATCCCCTCTCCGAATGTTCATTACCGTGAAACCAGTGGAGATTTGTCTTAGGTTATAGCTGCCGCCGTCCTGTTGAATCTCCTTGGCATCGACAAGGCCGCCCAAGACCCTGAGAACAACGGTGGCGGGATCCGCTCTCGGTTCTTCTTGGACTCCCTCCTTCCGGTATTTTCATAGTTATCCTGGTTCCAAGTCGCGAAGCATGGCTGGCAGGTTGCTACACAGTGCATCTCCGACCACCTCCGCTCTTCTCACAGACTCCACGTCAGCAACCTGCGTACCGGCATCCCCACTAGCGGGAACGCTCAGCCTTTGCAGCAGCAGTAGCCGTGTGGGCTCGTGCGGTTGCTGCAGGTCCGCTTGCAACGCTCGTCTTTCCCGGCCGTCAGCTTCCCCGTTGTCCTCCATAACGGCGGCTTATGACGTCAGACTTCCCGGAAGTGCCACCAGCAGCGTTGAGTCTCTCCCCTCTCGTCCGTGTGTGTCGAGGCATAAAGGCGTCCCTTCGTCTCTCAGATGGTCGCAACCCCACCAACCCGCGCCAGGGTTGCGATACTTGAGACGCTCCAGCCACGGGTTGCTGGGGGCCGGCGTGCGCGCGTGGGGTCCTGACAGGAACTCACCGCCGAGTGCGCCGTCCGTGCCGGCGGTAAACACGCGGGAAGGTGGTGTTGTAGCTGACGGGGAGGATGGCGCGTTGGGTGATGGGTCTCCTCACGGGCAAGGGGGGAAGGTGAAAGGCCCGGAAGGGGAGGAGGAGGTGGGATTGGGAGAGGGTGTGGGCGAGGACCTGGATTTGGGATTAGATGGAAACAGAGGGACTGAATATATTGTTGGTGATTACATTGGAGACGGTGAGTTGGAGCGATTGGTGCGCGACATTGCGACGATTGAGCGACAGAACGACACAATGGTGCGACAGGTGTCGGAGTACACGCGCATGCTGGCGGAGGCGTCGCGGAAGCTGAGCATGTGCGCGCAGTCGACGCGCATCGAGGCGGCGAAGCTGAAGAAAGTCGCGCGGCTGCAGCAAGCTGCGGAGGTGCGCCGCTTGGGGGAGATGCGCTTGGCGGCGGCGGCAGAGGCGCGCCGGCAGGAAGAGGAGCGGCGTCGGGAAAGCATGCGCGCGGCCGCGGAGTGGCAGGCGGAGAGACTCGCCGCGCAGCAACGTGCTGCGGAAGGTTAGCGTGGGTGGGGTGGGGGGGGGGGGGGGGTTGCCGGGTGCGTGATAAGAGAGGCTGATGAAGGAACGGGTTGCATGTCTCGTGGGGTATGCTTGCCAGGGTAATGGTGGGGAACGAGAAGGGCGTCAACCGTGCGGGTTGTGCGGATAAGCGGGATTGGAAACCACGTTGATATTGTTTTACATTGCCGTACCCGACTGCTGTCGCACCTGCAATCGTTCCCTCTGGCATCACTCCCTCACCTTACCACTCTCATTTCTTTACCTTGCCCGTCCCCCTCGTCTCCCTCCCGCTGCGACCAGCGGCAGCGTCTCTCTCCACAAGCGCAGCCCCGGCGGAAGCGGGGGCAGGCAGAAACGGGGCGTTGGTGCAGGGCATGGAGAGCGTGGGGTCGTCGCAGGGGAGGGCGGACCTGCAAGGAGGTGGCGCTGCCAGTGTTGATGCGGCGCAGGCTTCCACCCTTTCTAATGCTGCAGCAGGGCAAGCAGCAGCAGTAGCATCGCCTGAAGTCGCTGGGTCACCACCAGCAGAAGCATCAACCCCTACAGCACCACCAGGCGTAGTGGTGGCTGCAGCAGCAGCAGCAGCAGCAGCAGCGGCTGCTGCTTCCTCCGCTGCGCCCGCGCGTGCAGTGGACGGTGCTGCGCAGGTGACCGAGCATGCAGCTGTCGCCGTCACAAGGGGACCACAAGCGGAAGAATCAGAAGTAGAGGGCGACAGTGGGTCGGAGTGGAGCACAGAGGCAGTGCAGGCAGAGGAGGAGGAGGACTCATCCGTGGTGACAGAGACGACGCAGTGCTCCATCGACCATCCAGGCGCGCTCTCGTGCCTCACCACGACCATCCGCAAGGACGACCGCAACCGCCAGGCCGTGGTGACCCTGGAGGCCACCGTGCAGTGCGCGGGCGACGCGTGCCTCACGTCCGCGCCCTCCCTGGGCGCGGACGACTACGCCGCGCTGGCCATCGCCACTATCGCGGACGCCGCCACGCAGATGCGGCGGGAGCAGCGGTTGCAGCCGGGCGGCGAGGCGGGGGACCCGGTGGCGAGCGAGAGGAGGAGGAGGATCGAGGAGCTGCTGGCCAAGGGGCACGTGGTGAAGGCGCGGCCTGTGGAGCCGCCGTCGAGGTTCGGGCATGAGAGCTTCCTTGTGCGCCTGCGCTCACCAGACACGAAGGAAGAGGTGCGGGGGGGGGGGGGGGGGAAGGGTGGTGGGAGGAGGGAGGCCAGAGCGAGAGGGAAGAGGTGTGGTGTGGATGAGGGTTGGATGTATGACTCGGATGGGTTGCTACGTTGGGACTTGAATGCAAGAAGGCCATTGCGCCTGGAGGCCTTGTGGTATGCATGTGTCATCACTGTTTCCCCCGTTTCTGTGTTTATCCTGTGGTCAGATCGACGCCATGTTCAAGCCGCGGGTGGAGGGCGATGCTGAGGGGTGGCACAGAGCGCCGATAGAGTGGGTGGCGTACGAGCTCAACCTGCTGCTGGGCATGGACTACATTCCCCCAGTGAGTCCCCCTTGCGTGCTCGCTCTCCCTAGCTACCAACGAACACGTTGCATGAGAGGAAGGATGAAGCAGAGTAGAAGGCATGAGTGGTAACTTAAGTATATGTCATCATGGTAAACGAACGTGCATGAACCCTGCCCCTGTTTTCAAAACCTCGGAGCTTCCTCCAGGTCTCTAGCAAAAGCTGAAATCAGTGCGCCAGCTTGACCGAAACCTCATGAAGCTGGCAGCTTGCACCCAGGCACTCACGCACACTTATCCGCAGCTGCGTCGGGCCTCCGCCCCCTCCACAGTTTCTGTATCCTCACCCTCTGTGTAACCCAGGTGGCGTACCGCACAGGCGGGGTGGAGCTGACTCTCAGCCGCTCGTCTGACCACAGCAACTCGCAGCACCACCACCACGAGCAGCACCAGCAGCAGCAGGAGCAGCACACGGTGCGGTACGAGGAGGGCGCGTTCATCTACTGGGTGCCGCACACCAAGGAGCTGCGCAAGGTGGCGGCGGCATCGTGGGGCGTGTCTGTGGCGCACCTGCTGAGTGACACGCGCATCCTGGACGTGCTGCTGAATAACAGCGACCGCCACCACGGCCACTTCCTCTTTGGCCAGCACTGGACGGACGGCACCATGCGCCCCGTGCTCATTGACCATGCTGCTGGGTTTCGCCGGGTGAGCAGCTAGGAAAAGTGATGCTGGAGGCTTGCAGGCTGCTGATGTGGCGTTGTTTGTATTGGATTAAACATTCGTTTTCCTTTTCCCCTATTTTTCTCTTGTCTCTATTGTTTCTTTCTCTTCACAAAACCCCTTCTGTATTTCTCTATTCAGACTTCTCACTGTTCCCCTTTGAACCCCTCCACCCCCGCTCCCGCCCCTCACTCCCCCCCCCCTCTCCTTTGCGTATCCTTGCCTTCCTAATCCCCAGGAGGCGGTGGTGCTGATGGAGCACGAGAACGCGTTTCAGACGGGGTCCATCCGGTGTGTGAGTGCGCACACGTACCTGCGCCTGCGCTTCCTCGACCGCTCTATCCTCGCCCTCAAGTTCAGCGGCATGCTCAGCGAGCAGGAGATCACCGACCTCATCACCCGCAGGGACCAGGTCAGCCAACTGGAAAACGGGGACTTAGGGAGGACATTATTTGTTGAGTGATGGTGGGAGGGTGTTGGGTCGTCTGTGGCTGGGCCGACAGTGGTTGGACGTGATCTCTGAGTATATCTGGCCAGTGTGGCTTTCCTCTTGGAACCGTTTTATGACATGCCATACCGCACTGTGGATGCTATTTTGAGACAAGGAGTAACTTATCATATGTCATTCACCATCTGCTTTCATCTCCCTTCTGGCACCACCTTCTTGCACCAGCATCTGCATACTGATTGGGCCCACACGCCCTTGTTTGGAATGGGTGTAACCTGCGTTCAGCCTTTTCTTTATCACTTGCCCGCCACCCTTGTCGTGCCCATGTGTTTGCAGGTACTGAGGTATCTGGACCACCTGGTGAAGGAGAGGGGCTACCAGCGCACTGTCGTGGATTAGCCCTCTGCCCGAGGTTGGTATACGCAGGTTGGCAGGGAGGGGAGCATGGGAGTCGTTGGCAGAGGTTATGTTTGCTAGCGTGTTGGCGCCTGGTGGAATAGAAGGGCGAGTGTATGGCCGCGGTTCGGAGCAAGCCGCGAGATTGTAAGTGCTAATGAGGGAAAATGTGAAGAGAGCGGATAGGAGTTAGTGGGGTGGAGAGGGACGTTTCCTTTGGTTGAGTTTGGTGAAAACATCGGCTATGATTACATGGGCGAGTGTGGGGAGGTAATGAGAGAAGGTGCCCATGCAGTAAGACATGCCATTTCACAAGCATCTGCGACACATTCACTTATGCCTGCACTGGCAGACACACACATGCACATGTAAGCGCCTGTGTGTCGCATGCAAGTGCATATGTAGTCATGCACACAAGTGTGCTTCACAACACTATGTTACTACCACTCACAGACCTACGCTCCGCAGCCTGAAGTCTTTCAAGCGGCTGCATCGCATTTCAGTTTCCTGAGTTAATTCTTCATTTCTATTCCTGTGTTATTCCGCCACTGTCTCCTCCTTGCACATTTGCCTTCCAAGGATTCTCTGCTGCTTCCCGTTGCCATTGCAAGTCATGCTGAGCACCCAGCCTAATTATTCCAGCACAACATGCCCAATTCCAATCCACCATTTTCATGAACTGTGCCACACTTCATGGCTTGTTGCTTCCTGTTTTCTGATGGCATGCTTTGCTTGCTGCCTTGCCATGCGCTTGCCTGCATGGTGTCGTGATTCGTGACAGCAACAGCATCAGCATTAGCTGATGAGCAACAGCATCATCTCATGCTATTACCTGCTTCACTCTCCGAGTCTTGCAATGTACACGCACATGCATGTATATGTGCACGCACAACCGTGCACACCCACACACACGTACACAAACCCACATCCTCTTAGGCTCTGTTTCCTGTGGGCACACGTGACACTCATACCCATACCTTTCCACTTTCCCACATCCGAAGGTCTCCTACTCCTACCCCTGTCTGTCTTCCGTGGTTCCCGTTGCCTTGCACCAGCCTGCATTTCTCTCAGGAAGCAATTCAGAGGGTCGTGAGGAGGGAGTCGTGGGATGATCGGTCTGTTGATGATAAAGTCATGCATGCATGGTTGTGCCATGAGTCTTTAAAGCCAAGAGTTTTGGGTCCGATTGCCATCTGTTGCAGTTGGTGATGACTGAAGCTCTGAAGTCATAGCAAGAAGCTGTCACTAGCCAGCAGTTGGTTTGGATGGACAATGGAGTTGCTCATTGCTCATAGTGTTGTTCCATGTCAAGAGCCACACACAACTTATCATTTCGGTGTGTGCTCCTTCATGTTCCAGAGTTGAGGAGTGTTTCCATCATATTATGGTGCTTTATGCCCGGAAAAGAGCAGAATGGTTGAGATATCCTCTTAGCCTGGCAAGTGTGATTATTATAGGCTATTGTTGAGAAGTAAAACCAGTTACCTGAGCAACTGTTTATGGCATTTCACTAGAGAACCAAAATTTGTAATGTTGAATGCTCACCTGGTTTTTATATTGTGATCAAACGGAAAGAAAAGCAAGGCACTTACTGTACTAGTTACCAGTGCCATGCTAAAGTCCACTGGAATAGAGAAAACGTTTATTAGAGATGATTCGGCTATATGGGGTTTGTTAGAACATTCTCTAGATCATTCATGTTTATATGTCAGCCCCTATTCCGTGTAGTCAATGCAAAACTTTCGATCCTTCACACCCTCTCCAATTCTCGAGGCGAAGCTGTGCCGAGCATCTGCGTCCACACCACATCACAACCAAGAATTTGAGCTGAACAAGAGTCGGCTGCATATCGCAGACAGAGTGGAGTTAGTTCCTGATTGAAACCAGAACAAGAAGATTAGAGCTGCTGACGAGCGAGAACCATGGTTTCCTCGTCGACACCTCATTATTCAGAGACACAGCAACAGCCCGCAATTGAAAATGATGATACATTGAAGTGCATCAGTCACCTCCCACCGTGCTTCCGTCCATTGTTTAGCTTCAGGTCCGTTTTTATAGTCCAGCCGCAAAGAGAGTTTTGCCGGCGAGACTTTTTTCAAGCGGCCTTCCTTTTCCTTTCGCCAGGTATTTCAATGCTGTTCAAAGTGAGGCCTTCGGGGAGGTGTACACGACAGACAACAATATCGTTGTGTCGGCTCCAACAGGTGAGCAATTGGGTTCATTATCAAGGAGTTAAAGAAATCTAATGCGTGCCTTCTCAGGTAGTGGCAAGACCGTGCTGTTTGAACTGGCTATACTGCGGCTCCTAAGCAAGACGCTGACATCTGGCCAGGAGTATATCCATTGTCCGGGACGATACAAGATTGTAAGACATGTTTGCAATGCTTCTTGCTTTTCCTGACATGATAGGACGCTAATATTGTTATTGGCGTGCAGATATATGTCGCTCCAATGAAGGCAAGCATGAGTCGTGCGTTAAATTGCACATTCTTGTTGCAACAAACATGTCAAATCACTTTTCCTGCAGGCGTTGGTTCAAGAAAAGCATAGAAGCTGGGAAAGCACTTTTGGAAAGCATTTGCATCTCAAGTGCTCTGAAGCCACTGGAGACACCGGTAGGAATTTAGATTTAGTGCCTCTAATACTTTATTTATCTGAGCTGACGAGTACGAAACTACGCAGACACCACGGTCAAGGATCTCCACAACGCTGATATCATCCTTACCACACCAGAGGTTTGATCTGATTGCATGGCGCTACCCTTGAAGTTTTCAATCTGATTTGCTTCTCATGTTTCTGATTTCTAACTGCGAAACTTGACACAGAAATTTGATTCACTGACACGGAAGCATCGTGATAGAGGCGGCCTGACTCTTTTCGGCGACATTGCTCTACTCCTGATTGATGAGGTTCATCTCTTAAGCGATCCACGAGGAGCCGCTCTAGAGGCTATTGTCAGCAGACTGAAGATGCTCTCCCGATATCCAGAAATGTCAAATTCACCCATTTCCAGCATCCGATTCGTGGCTGTTTCTGCTACCATACCCAACCTGCATGACATTGGTATGCTGCTCGTGAAGCAAAAGTTCTTGAAAGGGCTTTATCTCGGTCCAGTGCTTCTGCACTATTTTTCAGCGATGAGGAAAGCTAGTTGATTCTGGTACGGTGGTTTTTGCTAACACGAATTCAATTCTCATACCGTAATTCTCCCGTGGTATGCAGCGGATTGGCTCCTTTCCAAAGGCAAAGGAACCAGAAGGTATAGATTCTTGCCTTTTCAAGCTCCCATTTTTGTGCTGGCGTGTTCCTCATCCTCCTCCTCATCTTAGATTTGGCGAAGAGATGAGGCCTGTCAAACTGACTTCGACAGTGTATGGTATGTCACTACTTCTACCTTTTGGTAGGTCAAACGATTTGGTAAATAACGAAACATTTTTTTTTTTTTATGTAACAGGTTATTCACCTGCCAAGAATGACTTTCTCTTCGAGAAGGTAAGGCTGTTTGAAAGCGTTGTATGTTTGTACGAAACCATTTCATCTCCTAACGCCATGCCTAACGGTCGCACTTTTTCTACTTGCAGAGACTGCAATATTTCCTTCCAGGTTTGTTTCGATCAGGAATAAGTTGGTTGAGCTTGCTTATCTGAGTCACAACGACCATAACAATTCTTCTTCCTGTTTCGCAGAGGTCATCAAGCAGCACAATGATGGAAAGCCAGCGCTTGTGTTTTGCAGCACACGCAAGGGAGCTCAGGATGCTGCACAGCAACTTTCTACAGAGGTACTTGCCATCTTTGTTCGTGTTTCCACACAAGAAAGGGTGGGTACTCAACACAAAGTTGTTACTTGTAGTTTTCGAAGAATGGGCCCTACAACAATCCTCTCGTGACAAACCAGCAGCAGTGCGATAGGCTTCAAGCAGCTTCCTTGTCAACCCAGGACAAGGTGTTGCAGTCTTGCATCCGTCATGGAGGTGGGGTTTGTGTTTTCTTTCGTGTATCAGCCTTCTGTACTAGGGTTCTCACCACCGACCAACTTTGTACGCAGTTGCATTCCACAATGGTGGCCTGGACCAGAAGAATCGAACACTTGTAGAAAGCCTTTTCCTCCGTGGAGACCTCCAGATTATATGCACAACAGGTACCTTGGCTGTTGGTGTGAATCTGCCGGCCCATCTTGTGGTGATCAAGTCAACTCAAATATAGTAAGTGCTTGTCTCTTGCGCACTTTTGAAAATGTTATTCCAAGAAGAATGCTAAATAATTATGTGTTGTTTTTCAGCAACAAAGAAAAAGGAGGCTATGTGGAGTATGACCGAGCATCTATTTTGCAGGTAACCAGGTCCACACGTTCCATTTTCCCGTGCTACGTATCCTCCATTTTCCATTTTTCATTAACCTACAATATTGACTCTTATGGTATTTGCCTCTCCACCAACCTGATCGTGGCAAGATGTCGGGTCGAGCTGGAAGGCCACAATTTGACAAGACAGGGAAAGTTGTTATCATGACTCGGCGGGAAACGGTATGGAAGCTACTCAGTTACATGAAGTGGAGTAGCTTTTGGGTTCTCAGGTTCGCATACTTTTGTTGTTGATGCCAATGTGGTGCTTGCCTGCAGGTATACCTTTATGAAAACCTAATGTCAGGCTCTCAGCCAGTGGAATCGGAGTAAGAAATAAAGTGAAGGACGTTTTTTATTTTGTTTGTTTGAAATAAGTTACTAATGTTTGTCAATGTTGTGCTCTCTGTAGGTTGTTACATTCCATTATTGAACACCTGAATGCAGAGATTGTTCTTCTCACTGTTTCTGACATGAGCCTTGCCATTGACTGGTATAGCTGTGATAGTTGTCCCGTTTTGACTTGTGTTGCTTTGATGTCGGTCCCTGTAGTGACCTCTTGTTTGCATTCAGGTTGAAGAACTCTTTTCTTTATGTGCGGATTCAGAAGGTAAGCGATCACAACTTTCATGTGCTCCGTTGCCAGTCAAGAAAATCGCATT